GTGTGTGTGTGTGTGTGTGTGTGTGTGTTTGTGTTTACAAGCAATAATGCCTGTTTGTTATGTGAAGAGATTTAATAAAGGTTAAAAATAGTCAGAATAATAGTAGGAAGAGCAACGAAATGCTTCATTTAAAAAAAGGCTGAGGATATATTTATTAATCTATCTGAACAACATCAAATGTTACATGATATAATAACTATAATAGTGTAGTGTTTTGTATGAATGTAAAAGCAAAACTGGCATTCAATATTATTGTTAATAAATGTAATATTTATAGTTAAGATAACATTTTGTATTATTTTGTTTTATTATACTACTATTTAGTATTGTTTGCACTGTGTACCCCGTTACACTTTGTGAAATTGTTGTTTAATATATATTGTTAATAAACATTTCTCTATGTATTGCAAAAACAAAACGTATGCGTAAAAAAAAACAAAAGCGCTCTAAAGAGTTAAAATCCACGTGGTGCGCCACAAAGCCCATTCCTCGCCGTCTGTGGTTGGTAGTGGCGTTCACGACGTTTTGCGACATACCGTACGTGGACGCTCAACTCTCCCGGGTGAGATACCGGCTGAGCGGCGCAGTTGCACAGAAATATAAAAGAAAGCGACTGATAGTCCGATAACACTCTGCACTTTTTTGTCAGATCAGAAGCACACGAACCATACGCCGTCTCTGCTGCCCGTAATTGTTCGCGGTAAATGTGGACTCTTTCGCTGAACGGAAAAGAGACGCGAGGGAAGGCAACTAATTGTATAAACGGGGCTTGAAGTAAGTTGCCTCCCCAGCGGCGCTTTAAAGGGAAGCCACAGCCCGGATCCCCAGAATAACGGTGAAAATGGACTATGATTTCAAAGTGAAGCTCACCGGGGAAAGAGAACGAGTCGAGGATCTCTTTGAGTACGAGGGATGTAAAGTTGGACGGGGGACATATGGCCATGTGTACAAAGCAAAGAGGAAAGATGGGTGAGTTTGCAGGATGGACTTGTGCAGCGATATGAGGCCTGCGCTGCCGTCGCGTTCTGCTCTCAGAAACCAAAACAGACCGTGTGTCATCCGCCCTCGGCCCGGTGTTTTAGAGAGCCACGTCTCTTGTCTTCAAAGAGAGTTTGATATGTACAGCTCACAGTTTCAGTGGAGGCTTATTTTGAGGGGATTGTGAATGTACGTCAGCAGGCACGAGTGCTGTTGTGATTGACGAGCTTATGCAGTTACGATGGGCACAGGTGCATTTGATGCAGATTTAGGTTTGCAACATCATGTGTTGTTTTTCTTCGTCATGACGTAAACGTTATTTACCTCTAACAAAAACTACACGTTCTTAATGGCATCTTCAAACAGCTGACTAAAGGGCTGCTCCAAAATACACAACGTTGCATAAAATCAGCATCTCTAGTGTAAAAGGAGGCTCTGATGCTGTTTTACATTCTGTGTGAATAAAATGCAGTATCATAGCAGCCTTTAATATTGCCTTTGTCGTGGCAGAGAATTCTAATTAATAGTTTCATATTTTATTTAGACTGTTATGTTTATAATTTGGTAACACTTTACAGTAAGGTCCCTTTGTTAATGCATTAAATAACAATGAGCGATATATTTGTTACAGAATTTATTCATCTTTGTTAGCCCACTTCCATTAAATGTTAGCAAGATTAATAAATTCTTTAGAATTGTCAGTTCATGTTAAATAATGTTAACAAATGGAATCTTACATCTAATTTCATATTTAAACCAGTTACATATATTTCTTTACATTTTATAGCCTTAATTTTCTGTTGTTTTCCCTTGCAAATGCATGTGTCACCTCAGCTGTGTAAAGATATCATTAGTCTCCCAATTTCATGTCAACTCCTTGAATCCATTGCAGGTGTGATTGACGTCACTTTTGAGATATTTGCGTTGAGCGAATATCGCTGCACAGGTTCAGAGGAGGATCTTTTTTAGCCTTTTTCAGGTTTCTTTGCCTTTTTCTGGTTTCTTCTGTAGAATATACCATTGAAAATACAGATGCAAAGGGGAATTAGAAGGTCTGTTTTATTAGAAGTCCGTCTGGGGAAAAAGGGAATTGAAATTCTTTGCTCCCAATGTTTTTGGTAACTTGCCGATAGGAATATATTCTCCAAAACTTTCTCACACTAGGACAAAAATAGGGATTTGCCTGTGCTCTTTATCCAAAGAAGGACAAATGATTCTCTTCAAACACAGTGATCAAAGGGCTGAGAATAACAGTATGACAAGTGTAACCTTCTAGGATTAGATCATTTCTAACAGTTTTGCTTTATACATTTTCTGAAATTTAAACACACACATTTATCAGGCTTTCTAATAGACTGTGCCAAACACATGACGGTCTTTGAATTTGTAGGGTCCTGTGATTTTTTTTCATTTATTTATTTATTTTTTTCAGTTTGTAAAGCACTGATGGAATCACAGAATTCAGTCATAAAAACATGTTACTGTATAACGTGAAATGTCACAGAATTTGGCAAAAATTGGATGAATAAATCTAAAGAACATTGAAGTAAACTATATATAATCAAATCACAATGTGGACTAGTGTCTGTGAATTTTAAACCACAAAAAAAGACTGTTATGCAGTTTAACTTTAAAATGTACTTAAAGTAACAAAAACAACTATATTTTATTAAAACAATATTTTTGAAGGAATAGCACACAATATCACTTTTTTGAACAACAGAGCTGCACGGCAAAGTTTACAGTTGTGCAGCACTTTGTTTGCCAAAAAAATTAAAGAAATTGTTCAAACTTAAGTTGACTACATTTTAAAAGATTAATGAATTTTTTAATTGCCACCATTTTTGATTCTTCTTTGTATTAAATCATAAATCCACAAAAATTAAAACCGACAACACAGAATTAAAAAAAAAAAAAAAGCAAAATTTCATAGGGCCCTATTATTGTAAAAATTAATACATTCTTAAAGTTTTATGAATTCAATTCATTAGACATCCTTTTTGATTGTTAAAATGTAACTAAACCATTATAAGAATAAAATTAATTTAATAGGTCTCTAACTTTCTAATTCCAGCTGCTGTGTCAATTAAAACGATTTAATTTTAAATTTAATTTAGGTTTTAATTGCCTACACTTGGAAAGAAATTAAACGACCATAACTTAAAAGTTTTGCATTTATTGATTAGAAATTAGAGCTGCGACTTGGGGAATAAATAAAATACCTAAAAAGTCCATTCTACATTTTACTTGTATTGGTAGTTTTTGCTTGGAAAGCTTGACAGAAAATAACCCTCATGTCTGCAGGACAATTGTGGTCATATTGAGGCAGCTGAAATAGCATTCCTCCCAATTTGCAATTGTATTTAGTGCTATCACAAGATATTTGTTTTAGTTATGTTCTTTAATGATTATTTGGTTCTGGTGCAGCAATCTTTTTCACACCGATTGTAAACTATCTTGGAGGAGTAAGAATGGATCTGCTGATGAGTTACTGTAAGTTGGTTCTGAAGTGCGGGGCTTTAAGTGAGACCCATCAGACAGACCCAAAGCTGGGCTATTAAAGTCCAGACTGCCTGGCGGCCAAAGTCTCACTTGAAGGTCCTAAGTGTTTAAAGATGTTTTTGTTCACCATAGAAGCTGATTGTTTGTGAGCGGTTTACAGCTAATTTGTTCCCCAGAAACTGGACAGGGCGTTGTGGGATTTTATAGGCTGATGTTTTTTGCGGGACTTTATTTCAACATTACCCTCTTGCCTCGCATTAGTCGTCAGGAGACTTATGAGTTTTCGAAGGTGTTCTGGTAATAAAAGAGTCAAAATCATCTGCTTAAATTCTGCTTGGCCTTTCCCAGTGGATTCTTTCTCTCTATAAGGGGTTTAATGTGATATGTAGGTATAGATTTAGGGAAATGTAATGTACTGAAGAGTAATTGCGGTTGCTTATATGTCTATATTTGCAGGAAGGATGACAAAGATTATGCTCTGAAGCAGATTGAAGGCACAGGGATCTCTATGTCCGCCTGCAGAGAGATAGCAGTAAGTACATCAAGCTTTAAACGCGTTTCTGTCAAGAGGATCTTCTTCAAGTAGCTCTGACACATGCCATCTTGGTTAAACAAGTTCCTGGAAATATATTTGCAGCATGTGGATAATTTACAGTGTTAAATCTGTGATTAGCTCTATCAATTTTTAAGAAAATGTGTATGCCTATATTCTCAAGTAATGTGAAGTAAAGGGATAGTTCACTTAAAAATTGAAAATTGTCTTTATTTTTATCACCCCCATCTTATTTCAAACCTGTATGACTTCCATATAATTCCATATAATGACTTTCGTTCTACTTTCTCACACAAGTATTTGTGTGAGAAACAGGTTAAAATGTAAGCTTTCCTTAACTTTCTAAAAGTAGTTTTGTCAGTTTCAAAAACAACTCATACTTTTGGGGATCCTGTTCACAAAATAGCTGAATGGTTGCACCCAAAATTGAATTCTTCTCTACTGTATAAATGCGGTCATTGCTCTTGGATGTGAATGCCTGCTGTTTGGGAACACAGTCCTGTAACATTTCTGGGTGGCAATTATACAGAAATACTTGACGACATACTTTGCTCAGTCATTTAAGAATGATCGTAACATTTCAGATGCTGTGCAACAAGATCGGTCCGCTGGTTAGCACAAAGTTGTATGACGTTTTTGATGGGCATTTGCATCAAAATGCATTTCCATCTCCCGTTATTTGCATTAACCCTTTTTCGCACAAGTTAAAAACCACCTAAAGCAGGCGTAATTTTCTTCTCTTGTTTTTTGCAATTTAAGGAATTTTTTAAAAATTTGGTGTTTCCATCACTCGTTTCTGATGTGATAATTCAAAATGCGCATAAAAACAGCGTGATGGAAACAGCTTATGACAGCATGACTATATGAAGCATTCATTCATACTATATTGAACATTTACTTAGTAATTACTTATTCAAAAGAAGTGATTTCGGATGCAGCCATTGATTTGTTCAACTAGTCTGGTAGTCCAGTGAAGGTGGTCATTATTAGCTGTCATTTGGTTTGATATGACTTAAATATAGTGCATGAGTCATATGGACCGCTTTTATGATGGTTTTGTATCCTTTTGGAAGCTTTAAAACTCCAATTTCCATTTATTGTAATTGCATGGAAAAGAGCAACCAGCACATTTTTCCAAATTTCTGCTTTTGTCTTCCTTAGTCATAAAGGTTTGGAGCAGCATGAGGGTGAATAAACAATGACAGAATTTTTATTTTTGGCCAAACTATCTTTGTAATAAGCATTCTTCAGGCTGAAGTGATTTTGTGTACTTAAGGTGCTCTGTAGATGTCTGTCTCAGCATGTGTGTCTGTTCGTTCTTGTTTGCTCCCTGCAGCTGCTGCGTGAACTGAAGCACCCCAATGTGATCTCACTGCAGAAGGTTTTCCTGTCACATGCAGACCGCAAAGTGTGGCTTCTCTTTGACTACGCTGAACATGACCTCTGGGTAACATACAATCAAACGCTCATGCACACACACACAGAAATGTTTGTATACAGTACATATCTTGCTGAGGGTCTATGTTTCTTTGTAGCACATCATTAAGTTCCACAGGGCCTCCAAGGCCAATAAGAAGCCTCTTCAGCTGCCACGTGGGATGGTAAAGTCTTTGCTCTACCAGATCCTGGACGGCATCCACTATTTGCACGCCAACTGGGTCCTGCACAGAGACCTGGTGAGGTTCAGTGTGTTATATTGAACAGTCAAATGTCTATCCAGATGTAGCTAATTTGACTTGTTTATATATTTTTTTGTGATCATCTTGATCCAAAAATTTTACTGAGTAGAATGTTGTTTAGGGCTGCACAATAAATCGCATGCGATATTTAACGCGCATCTTATCAGTAAAGCCGGTTCTGTAAGCAGCGGTAAATCTCCATCACGTGCGTGCTTCCACATTGAGCAGCATTAACTACACAGAGCTGTTGTTCACTGACGAGCTGCGCAAAACCACGTTCATATTCGCGCGATTTTTTGCGCAGCTCGTCAGTGAACAACGGCTCTGTGTAGTTAATGCTGCTCAATGTGAAAGCCCGCAGGTGATGGAGATTTACCGCTGATTACAGCACCGGCTTTCTGACAAGATGCGCATTAAATATCGCATGCGATTTATCGTGCAGCCCTAATGTTGTTCTACAACGCTGGTTGCACCGCACTCTTCCGTCACTTAATCTTTTTATTTTGGTGCGTAAATCTGTTAAATTACTTGGTATAGGAGATCAGGATCTGCACTCACAAAAACAGTCGTCTTTTTTAGTTTTATTTTACATTCATCGTTGATGGGAAAAGACACAAATCAACGATGAACATAAAATAAAACGAAAAAAGACGACTGTTTTTGTGAGTGCGGATCATGATCTCCTATACGGAGTAGAATGTTCTAATACTTGGCTGATTATTAGAAATCCCATGACAATTTCCATTAGGTGGCAGCATTTATAAAAGAATTTGTAGATATATTTTTGCCATAACAGATGTAAGGATAGAATTGAACAATTCTGGTCTGGTTTCTTTATTTCTTTATTAATTCTGGTTTGTTTATTTATTTATTTTAATTTGATTTATTTATTTATTTTGAGAATGAAATATTTGGGGGGAAATTAAATGTAACTTATTTGCCAAACTGTGGTGTTATGGTTTACTAAAAGCAAAACTATTAATTTTTTTAAATAAAATAATTTAATTTAATTGAAATAAAATAATAAGTTGATGTATGCAAATTATTAAATAAAATTACACTAAATAGGAATGTTTTAAAAATGAAATAAAAATTAAAATAACAAGCACAACAAAATTACTAAACCTTAAGGTAAAAATAAAGGCTAAAGGCCCGTTCACGTCAAGAACGATAACTATAAAGATAACTATAAAGGCAACAATATTAGCATCCACACAAGCGGACAATATCATCTGTTTATTCTAAGCACATGCTCATCTGCCGCTTTAAATTCTCCAGCTTGTTATAGCAGGATTGATTCTGATTGGCTGTCAATGTTTTTATCATTCATCAGCTGGAAAGAATCGTTCTGGAAGTGATTCCAGCGATATCGTTTCTCTGTGCCTTTATCGTTATAGCTGTGGTGTGGACTCTGCTATTCTTTAATATTGAGAACGATTTTTACAACTATATCTTTATCGTCATCTTTATAGTTATCGTTCCTGGTGTGAATGGGCCTTAATTCAGAATATTTATAAATATGTATTTATACATAATACTGTTGCCAAATAATGCATGAATGAAGAATTCTAAAAAAAAATAAAGAAATTATTGCAAAAGGTTAATGCTAATAGAACCAAGCGTATTTTAGTATAGGTTTTTTTTTTTTAAACGCATCCTGTTCACAAAAGTTGCAAAAGTTACAGCATCAGTTATCACAATGAAATGAGCGAGGGAGTGTTACAACTCTGAACTTTGACTCTTTCACCACAGAAACCCGCCAACATATTGGTAATGGGAGAAGGTCCTGAAAGAGGACGTGTGAAGATAGGTATGACATCAGCTCTGTTTCCTTCCTCTTGTGACAAACAGAAGAGATAATGGGCCTCATTCATGAAAGACGAGCAGAACGATTTTTTGTGTAAATCATTCGGAAAGTCGTTCTGACGTAAATTTTCGGATTCATGAAAATGTTCGTATTTTGAAAATGTTAGTTGGTACGAAATAAATGTACACCTGCTCCCTACCATGTGTAAATGGTGCATAAAACATTCAAACGTTCTGTATTCTTTTAGACAAACTGATGACACTGCATTTTTATGAACTACAGGTGCATCTCAAATTAGAATGTCGTGGAAAAGTTCATTTATTTCAGTAATTCAACTCAAATTGTGAAACTCGTGTATTAAATAAATTCAATGCACACAGACTGAAGTAGTTTAAGTCTTTGGTTCTTTTAATTGTGATGATTTTGGCTCACATTTAACAAAAACCCACCAATTCACTATCTCAACAAATTAGAATATGGTGACATGCCAATCAGCTAATCAACTCAAAACACCTGCAAAGGTTTCCTGAGCCTTCAAAATGGTCTCTCAGTTTGGTTCACTAGGCTACACAATCATGGAGAAGACTGCTGATCTGACAGTTGTCCAGAAGACAATCATTGACACCCTTCACAAGGAGGGTAAGCCACAAACATTCATTGCCAAAGAAGCTGGCTGTTCACAGAGTGCTGTATCCAAGCATGTTAACAGAAAGTTGAGTGGAAGGAAAAAGAAAGAAAAAGATGCACAAC